AGTGAAGATTATCAGAGTGTTAGGTGCTTCCGTTTGTGTTGCCCTGATGTTCAATCGCACCAGTGATGCTGTTGCTTTCTGCTGCCTGCATTTACGGCACGATCTGCTCCATTACTCGTTCTTGCTTGAGCCTTACGAATTATATGAGTGCAAAGAACGAACAAATGTCAGGATGTTGTATGCTGATTCAGTAATTGTTAAGTGATAAAAATGTACAAATTTGGGAGGAAAACCAACCACTTCTAGGTGCGAAAAGAAAACTAGCAAATAGAAAGACTAAGGAGAAGCGGGCTTCAGGGCATTCATTAACTTGGTGTAGTCACCTATTATTGAATGAAAAAAATCAAGACAGTAGCCGATTGCAGAGTGTCTACGCTTTTTCGTCTTTTTTTTCTAAAGTAAAAGTGGGATTCCGCAGCTGTCCATTAGGCTCCGGAAGAAATATGTTGATTTTACCTTGATTCAGACTTCGTAACCGACGTAGCACATCATGGTGAACTGTTGGTTACGCTCAATCGTCTCGGATCGTTCGACATTCCAACGTCACGGTTCTACGCGGCAGAAATCGTTGTTGCACTTGAATTTATTCACAGGTAGGTTTACGCATTTATTGAGTGTACTTTTAGATCGAAAAAGCTATATTTCATTGTGTTGTCCTCTCATTCAATGTTAATAGTTCACGTTCTTTGCGCGCCAACGTGTTTGTGATTTTCGCTCACGTGTGCGTGGGTGAGTTGCATTTAAATGATAGAGAATGACGCCGGGGATTGTCTGTCTATATGCATGTGTTCGCTTTTTTTATTCTTGAACTTACGTCTATTGCGTCGTCTGATTTTTAACACCTCCATGCTGGATAATGATGCGGTTTTGCTCATCTAAAAGTCAAAAATGTCGTGAAGCTAGTTTATTTGAATGAATACATCTGTATGAATGTATAGTAACCGTACTTTTACAGGCATGGTGTTGTACATCGCGATCTCAAACCAGAAAATGTGCTCATCCGAAGGAATGGTCATATCATGCTTACAGATTTTGGCAGTGCGCAAATATTTGACGAGAACTTATGTAACAAAGCCGACATTTTATGATAGCGCGAAAACGTGAAGAACGAGGTTGTCATTTAGTTGTTGACTACGAAGAGGAGGATGATTCACCAACACAACTAAGAAAAGTCCGCCAACTGAGGAAATTCGCCGAAGCTGCTGCTGCAGCAGCATCCAGCAGTGCCAGCTCATCCGTTGAGTCAGACGAACAGCTGGGAGGTTAGTGAATCCTGCTAAGTGAAACCTTTTGTTTTGAACATAGATATGTGGTATTTCTCTAAGAAATGGAAGGGGATTTTTGTGAAGATGGTGCCGCTGCTTCAAAAAAGGTTCAAAACATCCAGTTTCTTGCGAAGTTTAGAAACGGCCATTGGTGTTATATTTTCTTTGTAGTATCTCTACAAGCTCATGCCTAGGATATTCTGCGGCAAGATCTCAGCGTCATTTTGAACTGGCTCCATTTGCTTTTCGTTAACATACGCATATTTTTGCTACTTCTTCTGCTTATCTTGCGGGCAATTCATTTACATTTCATTTTTTTTATATGTTAAATTCAACGCATTGAGATATCCTCTATCTTTTGAAAATAATATACAAAAAATGCTTAGAGAAGCCAAGACTATGTAGGTAATGTACGTGGGGCTTGCATTTCTCGTGTTTTTGTTTTTTGTATTTTGCTTTCTTTTGCTACTAAGCTGAGCACAGCGATTTTTCTTGGATCTTTTATTCATAGTTTCTGATTGTTCTGTAGCGATCTTCGATTCTCTGCGTTGCCCTGAGAAGTAAACTTTGTGCTTCTGATCAAGTGAAAGATCCAAAAGAGTACTAGATGGTAACGTCTGTTCTTAGAATCGTGAATATAGGCTTTGGAACAGCCTTTACTACTATGTTATTACTTTGTATGAGAGCCTATAGCTGCATCGACTATCTCAAGAAATGCTTTGTACAGTGAGCCTCTCACACTGATGATGTTCTAGATGAAAAGTTACTAGTACCTGCAACCCCTCAGCACTCAGTGTTGGAAGCTGAAGCTTACGGTCGACTTCTCATTTTTGTTCAGCCCTCTTCTTGTGAACGTTGTCATTATTCTAAAACGTATGCTGTCTCGTTCTGAAAAAAGAGAATATTGATGCAAATGACATCTAACCCACAATGAAACCGTATGCATTAAAGGTCGTTGTTCTTAAACCATTCAGAAATGTTTTTAGGAAAATGATTAGTAGAAGGGGAGGGAGGATGTAGATATAATTTGCAGCGTATATAGAGAAGGGAATTATCTCAAAGGATGAAATGCAGCAGTTGAGAGTGCTTTAATCCCAATAAGACTTTATGTACTTTATAAATATATCAACAAAGAATTAGCTCTCATATTTTAAGCGTATCTTTAGTTTCGGATCATCCTCGTCGGGCTACGTTTGTTGGTACAGCTCAATATGTGAGCCCAGAAATGTTGAGAGGTGATGACGTCGGACCGCCGTCAGTTTTAATTTCATCAAACCGTCAAGTGCTATTAATATGCTAATTGGGCTCATTATTTTATTTAGGTGCGACTATTGGGCTTTAGGTGCAATGGTATTCCAAATGATCTCTGGTCAGGCCCCATTCCGTGCTATCAATGACTTTCATCTGATGAATAAGATACAGAAGCTCGATTTCTCGTTTCCGTCAGACTTTCCCGATGTTGCCAAAGATTTTATAGCTAAAGTTCTTGTGAGTTTTCTTTGCTTCTGCTTACACTCTGAAATTTTTTGTATAATTGAAATTCCACGTTTTGCTGCAAAGATAGAGATGTAGATTGAAAACTTCAGGTGTTGGACCCATCAGCACGCTTAGGATCTGACAATCTCGATAATTTGAAGTTGCATAGTTTTTTCGAGGGCGTCGATTGGAAGAACATTGTGACTATGAAACCTCCAGATATTCTTCAACCTCTTCCAGCCAGTCTAGGTTATCAATAGTTTATACAAGGCATTTCAAAAAAATATAAAGGCTAAAAATGCAAACCTTCATTTTCAGAAGAAGCTGAGATGAATTCGGAAAAATTGCCGGATCCGGGATTGGACGAAAAGGCTCTTAACCGCTTGATGAACCTATCTCTGGCGGGCATGGGAGCTGCGTGAGTTTCCTTGAACAATTACAAATATTCTTGTAGAATTGTAATTTTTCTCAGAAAGCAATTATCTCTGGACAGCGAAATCCTGAACACTGCTGTTGACATACCCAGGTGTGTATCGTGCCCGTTCATCCGATTTACCCTATTCTTATCTAATTCTACATTTCCAGTGACATGATTGAACTTCCCAAAATTGACAAAAAGGCTGTGGCTGTCAGACAACGAAAACTCGAGAAGCAACGAAAGGAAAATCCTTATCACTTGTAGGCTATAAATTATCTTCAGTCAACATTCTGAACAACATTTTAATCTTCTCATTTTTTCCAGGTTTGTGCAGGATAATTTGATCATTCGTTCCGGCTTTATCGACAAGAAGAAGGGATTGTTTTCAAGACGGCGAATGTTTTTGCTCACTGAGGTATAGTGAACATCCGCAGTAAACGCAGCCGTCTAGAAACCTGTCTTATTTCTGTCCTTTCAGGGTCCACACCTTTTTTATGTGGATCCTAATACTATGGAGCTGAAAGGCGAAGTACCATGGTCTCCTTGCATGCGTACAGAAGTAAAGAACTTCCGGACATTCTTTGTGCATACGGTATTGTTTTTAGTAAAAAAAAAT